CCGGGAGGGGGGGTCGGGCGCGGCCCTGTCCCGCCGCCCCGGGGCCCTGGGGCCGGGCCTGCCTTCCCTTTTGCCGCCCTCCCCTTGCCACAGCGCTGCCTCGCCCCCTCCGCAGCCCCCTGGCATGCCTGGCCATGTGTGGCTGCCTCTGGCCCTCGCAGCGCGGGCCCCGCCCATGGCGCGCCCGCTCCCAACAGCCCCGCTGCCGCCCCAGAGCGGCATGGCGGGGCCCAGTGTCCCCTCCCTGCCCCGCTGTCGGGCGCCTGGGTTGATGCTGGAGGTCTGGCTTGGTGCGTGTTCCCTCATGGCATCCCGGGGAGCTGTGCCGTGGCGGGGCGGCCCTGTCCCTGAGGTGGGTATGGCTGCCAGGCGGTTTTTGTGGCTGTGCCGGGAGCGGGCTCCGGCGTTGCGCTTCGATCAGGCGATGCTGTGGGAAACGCCCAGAGGACAAGAGGCACAGGGCTTCCTGTAGGTCAGCTCCTGGCAAGGTGGGTTTGGGTAAGGTCGGTGTTGAGAAGCGATGGCTGCCGGCGTGCAGGACGGGCTGTTCCAGCTGGGGCAGCAGAACGATCTGGGAAGGTCCTGTGGTGCGTCCCTGTGGCACGGCGTGCCAGCAGCCTGGCCCACGTTGTGGTAGGATGAATCCCCTGTCTACCAGTGTGCAAGAGCGAATGGGTCTGTATGGAGATAGCAGCTGTCTAAGCAGTGTCTCATTAGTAACTGTGGTCTTTAGGAGCTCCTCTTCAGGTGCTTTGCACTGTGCTATTTTTAGGCGAGATAGAAAAACTTTTTTTTTTTTTTTCTGCTGCTCCTTGTAATCAAAGATAATAGAAAAAGCAGGGTGTGAAGTGTGAGAATGTTAGTATTGACAGCCTGGTCAAAATCCAAATTTGGTGTTAACGCTGTTCTCAATATTGCTAGTTCTCCTCGAAAGTCCCTAACTCACCATAAAGCGTTGCTGTATCTCCTATTTCAATAACTGGATTTTAGTTCCTGATGAAAGCTCCTCTCAGTAGTGCAATACCTAATGCTTCTAACGTGCTTAGGGATCTTCTGGGTTGAAAGTACCCATTTAGCCAGAAAACTTGAAATGCAATAACACCGGAAAGATCTGGTGCTGGAAATACATTATTTCTTGCCCCCCTCCCCTGTCTGCCCAGTATGTCTGGTTTGTGGTTTTCTGTGATGCTTTATGCGAAAGATTGGCATTTCCTTTTCTGTCTTGCATTTTCCTTCACCCTGTATGTTCTTCTGCCACCCCCCTTCTCAAATATATTAATGCGACAGTTTGGGGGAGACGGGGGAATAATCTTTCCAGTAGTACTGATACATCCATCTTTATATCTTATCTCCTTATCTGAACCTGGCAGTATACACAGAGCGTCCTGTGCACTATTTGTTGGATTGGTTTGGGAAATGAAGGTAGTTGAAATTGCTGCATAAGGGTTATCTGTCAGATCTTAAAGAATGTGACATAACGCGATTATTTTCTCTCTGCATTGAGCTTTTTTATACAGGCAAATGGAGAAGATGATTGTGTGGAGGGGGTAAAGCACCACCGAGACGAGGGTTATCTATTGAGGGGATGAACGCTGTGTTTGTCTTGGATAAAACATGTAATTATGGAAGCCTATGAAGTGGAGAGAAAGGACTAAAACATTAAAACAGCTGGAGGTACAAAAGTTTCTTAATTTATTTTGGTCTAGAAAAATGAGTTGCAGTAAGATGGTAGGTCTGATACTTTTACCTGGGTTTGTGGAAAGTGCTCTGACTTTATTTAGAAAGCTGCTTATATTCTGTCTGTATACAGCTTAAGTCCAGGTCCATAAAGCTGCTAGATAATGTATATTTATAAAATAGCGATGTTGGCAGTGTGCTCAGCACAATGGAGTTAATGTAGCCTTGTGCTGATAGAGAGGGGTCAGAAAGAGAAATAGATCCTGCTTTTACCAACATAAATTATTAAGCTGTCTTGGCATGTCGTACACTGTTGTATGGCAAACATCTTTTGCTCTTGGCTGGTCCCAGAGGCTGCTGGCCTGGAGTGCAGTGTGCTGAGCCACTGTGGCAACTGGCTCTTAAAATCTCAGGTCTTTCCAGTGCAGAACTGCTGTCATCCCAACTCTCATCTGCCAAGAGTGATGGTCCCTCTTGCTGTGACCAGGTGAAAAGCAGTCACTGCTGATTTCTGTCGGGCAGACAAAGCCCATTATTGTGCTTTGGCTTGTAATTGTGAAGGGGAGACATGTCTCCAGAAGGGTGCTCGTCCTCCCTGTTTTTATCTAACGTTTCCTTATCAATAGCAATATAGTACAAAACGCCAAACACCCATCCTTACTGCTTATGTGGCTGCTCAGTTCTCCAGGGCTTTCTGCAATGTCAACTTTGAGCAAGATCAAATGAGAAACAGCGGATGAATGCTGCGGTAGTCAACTGCAAACTAGTCTGAGTAATGGGATCTTGGAGACCTAACTGAAATACTACCCATAGTAAATGCCAAGATCAAACACAGGGAGAAGACACCAACAATGGCAGTGTCACTTGTTGGTGTGTTAAAGCATGCTGCTGAAGAGGACAGTCTTTAAAAATATTGTCCTGATGTTGCTTTCAGAAATGTTTGGTCCTGGAGCTTTTCATATCAGCAACTGTACTTTGGTGAGACCAAGGAATGATCTGGCATAGTGTCAGGTTGCTGGCAGGTAGGCAGGAATAATCCTTCTTCTGGATGTCTTTCCAGTAATCAGCTGGTGATTGCATCAGGATCGTTAAGTCCTTTGATGGATATATAAAAGCTATAGTCTGAATATGTCCAATTGCTCTTTGAACCCATTTCTGCTTTGGATCTCGCAGTATCTTTGGCACTGAGCTTTGTAACTTAATGTGGTTGTTGTTTCTTTTCTACTTTTAAGTCCACTGCTCAGTAATTTCATCAAGCACTCTCTATCTCATGTGCAGTGAGAGGTAACAAATGTTTGCTGTCCATTTCTCCATATCATTCATAACTTTGTAGAACTGTTGTGTCCTCTGTTTTCCCTTTTCAGGTGAAAATATGAGTTATTAGATATTTTCTGAGCGGCTACTGTTTCATTCTTGTTATCTTTGGCCCCTTTCTATTTGCCTTTTCTGTGTTTACTGTCCTTTTTTTGGACAGTGACACCAGAATTGCATAATAAATTTTTGTAGTGCTGTAACAGGTACTTGTTTTGCTCTTAAAAATGTTATTCTTGCCTTTTTGACTGCTGCAGAGCATTGGATACTACTCTGAGGGTATTGGCATAGGCTAAGCCTGAGTGTTTATTGTTTGATAACAGCTAAACTAAATCCTGTCATGTTGTGTGTATAATTAGGGTTGTTTTTTCCCGTATGCATTGCTTTCCATGGGATGACTTTGCAGACTTAAAACTCATCTTCAGGGACTTCCTGTCTGTAGGGTGAGTTTCACTGGAGAAACATTGAGTTCCTGGTTTGTTTGGGTTTTTTATTATTATTTGGAGAAAAGAAAAAAACCAAACTTCCTCCCTTCAGTGCAGCTGGGATTCTTAAAGCTCTGGGACTTTCTGGGCCTCCTCTTCTCACATTGGGCAAATTCTTTAAGGAGAGAAACCTGGCGTGCCAAAGCCTTTCTCTGCAGAAGGACAGAGAATCTTCCTGTTTTCGGAGTTGTGAAGGGTGTTTGCTACAGTCGGGCAAGCGTGCAGGATCAACCCATCGGAGCAAAGGTGCTCATGCTGTGTGTGTACTTTGGCTCAGCAGTTCTCGTTGCTGTTCGGTATCAGCACGTGTTGCTACTATAGCAATGTTTGTTCTGATAACCCTTGCTGTGATTTCTGTTTAGGGTGGTAGCTTGCCAGTCAGGGTTATTTCATAGCTAAGTAGTATCTGTTGAAAGAAGCAAATACCACTCAGTTGTCTGGCTTCTTTAATGTGAAGTTTTATGTTTAACCTTCCTGCAGAAGTTTCATGTCTGATGTGTGCCTTTTACGCCATAATTTAAAGCCTCCTGAAGATATTTTTACTGTCCCACAGCTTGTGATATCAGGATATGCGCAACTAGAGGAAATGACGATACATCGTGAATATTTACTGCTGTAAATGCATGTGACACACATACACTGCATGTTGTCTGTGCGACTTGCACATGTGCGTTTAGTCAAGAACATACGACCAGCAGCAGTGCCACAAATAGATGGTTCAATAGGAAGCAGTGGTGGCGATGGTAAAGCTAGATCTTGTGGTAGGATGTGGTTAGAGTGCTGTTGATTCACATTTTTACATTATATACAGGTTAAGCTAATGTGGTAAAGCTTGGATATTTCCACTGAAAGAATGCTGGGTAAAATGTTGAATCGCAGCAGAAGCAGATGCTGAATGAAGGCTGTTAAAAAAAAAAAAAAGTGCTTCTGAGCTGTGTATAGTGTTTCACCTATTTATCTCTTGGGTGCCCAAAAATGAGGTAGTTGCGTTCTTTTATTTTGGCATTTTGAGCCCCAAATGATGTCCAGGAAGGCTGGACTTTAAAAAAGCAGAATTTAAAACAAAACAAAACCCAAGGTATATATTAAATAGATTTTTCCTTTTATGTTTTTCCAGAGGTTTTGTCTCTGCCCTTACTGGTTGGAGGAATTGCTTTAAAATTCCAAAGTGTAGTAAAATGAAGAAAAATAAATTTTTTATAAAAAGGTGTGTGTGTGGGGGGGGATCTGTTTTCTAGATCTGACTGGACTTCAAACTGTCAGCTCTCCTGCAAGTCCCCTTTCCCTGGGAATAAGTCTCTGAGCGCACTGGAGCGTGAGAGTAGATAGGAGTGACACAAGTAATCACGCTCTGAGGCCCCGGGAGCGCTGTGCGGTGATCAGTGCTGGCCTTTCTCTCGCCGCTTGCTTTGCCTTCTTCACTGGGGATTTCCAGTCATTTTGGAGCTGGTTTAGTTAGTGCAGCTCTGCCTTAAGCCGCTCATCTAGCGAGTGCATTTATGATGGCATTAGCGAGTTCCTGGTGTAGCTCCCAGGGCACAGCAGAAATGCTGCCTTCGGTTAGTGCACAGCTATTTATTTGCCTCCTCCCCTAGAAAAAGTCGCTTCAGAATGTGATTCTGTTTGCTGTTAGCCACAGGAATATGAAATATTATTAATGCTATCTCTGTTCTATTTTAAATGGACAGCTGAAACGTTTGGGGAGCAATTGTGTTAAGATTGTCTGAGTAAAGGACTTGGTACTCTGCCTGCAGGCAGCATCTGGGAGCGATAGCTTCTGGTTCTCCACCCCAGGTTCAAGGGTGGGTTGTGTGCCGGTTAAGTCTGGGTGGCTTGATTTATTGGGTATGTTATAACATAACAGAGGATCTTGAGTTCGGTACTACTGATGCTATTTAATTTAAAAGACTAATTCCTTAAGTATTCTTCCACTATCTGCCCAAGAAATAGACCCCCCTCTGAGAAGATAAATAATCTGGTTTGGTTTCTACTTGACAAAACTACAGCTTTTAGTCTTGAAGTGCTCAGCCTTTATGTACCACGGATTAACAAAGTGAATGGCCTGAAACATGGTGATTCCTTGCTGAGGAGCTATCTTCATTTGGTGACACTGGAATTGAGACTATTGGAAATTATTCCTAAGGCTTTCAGCGTAGTTTGGTTGTCTGGTGGCTTGTCTCATGAATTCCCTCGTCATTTAAGACAGGATTAATTTTGTAGAGAGTTTGTGATTTGTGTAAAATCATAAGGGGCTTGATTCACCATTGCCAAGTAACAGATACTGTCACTTACATCCACTTTGCATTACTGTAATATATTGCTGTTCTGCTTTGGGAGCATTTGGGACCCACCTGATGCAAGGCTAACCTGCCATATAGTGCAAGAAAAGTTTCAAATTCGGTGTCTTCTGACGCTTTTTCAGGTTAAAAACAATAATAGAACCTCACTTCAGTGAAAGCCCAGTATTCTTGGGGGTTTTGTCCTTCAACTCTTCCTAATTTTACTGGTGTAGCAAACTAAAACTCCTGCAAGTAATCCTTGCTGATGATGGTGCTGGTTCCCAAATCTAACCCAGAGTCTGGAATTCAAGAGGGATCTGCGCACTGTACCTGATGTAACCACAACGATGTGGCAATAACATCAGCAACGTGAACTCTGTAGCAGTGCAATAACTTTTTTTTTTAATGAGCTCCAGTATTCGGAGGCTGAGGTTAAAGTCCATTTTGCCAAGTGCTGTTTTAAGATGTGGGTGCGTGGGCTGGGGAGACTCGGTATCTTGCAGTGGAATTGATCTAGGAATGAGTCCAATGCTCAGCCTTGCAGAGGCATCCTGTTTCCTTTCGAGAGGAGGGAGGAAGAATAAATTTGTGTGGGGGCTGATCCTTTTGTGTTCAGTGATGGGATGGAGAAGATCCAGTCTCTGAGAACCAATATAGAAAGTGCCCTGTCTCTTAAGTCGCTCACTGGGTTCATACTGCATTTTTGTAGTTACTACTGTCTTTAAAGATTCTCTGGTAGATAGTTCTTACTCTCCTGATGTGAATTGCTGATCTTGGAGCAAAATTACTCTGATAATTTTTTTGTTTCCTTGGAATTTATGCTAACATCTCTCCAATACTTTTGTTGTGTCCTTTTTCAGGGAACAGAGGCAAGAGAAACTTAGATTAAAATACATAGCTGCTCTTTACTGTTGTTTGCCTACTTCTACGTCTGTGATAGTTCAGGATAAAGGTTTTGAGGTACCTTATGATCTCTTGCGAGGTCCCATTGCTGCTTCCCGATGCTCCCTGGGGGATAACTAGACTGTTAACTATTTGGGGTGGAGGCACAAAGTCACTTCTGTGTGATACAAGGGGGCTACTGGTTAAAAAAGTCTCTCCCCCCACCGA